TTTATTCCTTCAAAACAATCAAAAGTTGGATAAAGAAAATCAAGAATAAGAGAAAAATCTCATCAAATTGTAGTTTGTATTGAAGACTAATTCAACTCACGAAGAAATGCGAAGATTACTCAATAAATACAAATATTTGCTTTAATTTTGAATGAATTTAATAAAAAATAAAATTTAAAACTTCTTATAAACTTTAAATCATAGTTTATTTGACAATTTATTTAGACTTTATTTTCGGAAACTTTTCGTTCTGTGAATTAGTAGACCCAAAATACCGTTCACTCTATTATGTCATTTCCAACACCTTTCCAGTGGTAGGCGCCGTTGAATGTCATAAAAGACGGCAAAGAGCCTCTGCTGGATACTATACTGTACTTGTTCAGATTATTTTATTTTGTCAATAAATGTTATTAAGCGTAAAGATTTGTAATAAATGTGAGTTTTATTGTTTTAGTTAAGAGATTATATATTTTTATTGAATTTATAAATAATTGTTCAAACTTTGAAAGGTTTCAATTCATTTCCAATGCTATAACCGGTTAATCGGTTCCAATCGAGCTTCTGCTGTATGACCGGCAGTGCCCGCCGGAGGGCTTTGAAAGTGGTCTCAGACATTGTCCGGTAGTTGTCCGATACAGCCGTTTGGTACTCACTCTCCGCCTCTTCCACCAAACGTCTCATCTCTTCTGCCGTTTGTTTCTCATTCTGAAAGCACACAAAAGGTTTGATCCGATTTTCATATCGCGTCAAAAGACTCACAGAAATCGTAATCTGTTTTTGAATGTCTTTAGAGCTGAAGAACTGAACGTTTCCGTCTTCATAGTAGTGGACCTGCGCTTTGATGGCTCCCTTCAGCTCCGCTCGAGAACCCGACCCCTCGAACACAACACTCCATACGGAACGCCACTTTCCGTTGCTGTGGTTTTCATGAAATTATTTAAAGGGTTGTCGTTGTAGTGAAAGATTATTTACCAGTAGTTCTTGGGCTGATAGGTATGTCCTTCAATACAAGCCGTGAGACTGATTTGTCCGTTTTTACTGAACCCAAACACAGCACAAACACCGTTGGGGTAGTGATCGGTACAGTATTTGAGCCAAACCTCGTCCAGAGCTGCCCTCCAGGGCTCACTTAAGGGGTCGGGTTTCCAGGGCTCGTAGTCAGAGACGTCTTCGTTCAAGTGGTCGTATTTGAAAGACTGTCGTCTTTGGGGGTCGTAATAGCGATCGGAACCCAACTCATTGTATTCCGTAATCAAAGACTGTTTCAGAAAAGTTATTAAAATATTGTTTTCATTTCAGACGTGAATATTGTATGAAAACCTGAAGTTTGGCCGATTGTAGGGAAACGGGTGTCAATTGATCCTTAATGTGTTGCGCGAATGCACTGAAAGGATATAGAAATTAATATTTCTGTAATTTAGACTAAGATAATGAGTGGGAACCGGGAGGCCTGTTCTTTCAATAAGGTGTCGTTGTTTAATAGTAAGCGCACGTCTGTTAAATACAATAATAATTAAAACATTAAATTTAAAATTAAAACTCAAGTCAATAATAACTAATACCGTTAACAACTTCCCTGAACTCGCCGGGCGGCGCGTGGAGTATGAACCGGGTTATAATTTCAATCTGATTGTATTAAACTTGTTTACAATTAAATTATTCATTTAAACAGAAATTATTGCCAACCTTATCGCTGTCCGACACATTTTTATCCAAAATACTCGTCATTTATATAAACTTTTAATGTATTGAATGTTGATTATTCTGTCAATTCTTGAAAAATACTTAAAATCAATCTTAATTAGTGTTATTAACCGCCAGTTGTTGTAGTTTTGCTTTAATATTGCAATAAATGATTCATTCATATTATAGATAGCATGCAATATATGACAAAAGCGTCGGAAACCGTGACAATTATCTCTATTATGTGTTTATTGTATAACTGTATTGTATTAATAATTGATTTGGTTTTTGATTTCAAACACAAACATTTGTAATTTTCTGACACCTTATGTCAATTATATGTGCTTTTAATCTTGTTACTATTGTTATTTTCATAAATTTCCCTCAATATACTTAAATAATTAATTAAGTAACTAATGTTACTTTTCTTTAATAATAATCATTATATTTCTATTAATTAGAATTATTAATTATACTAGCTTTTTTGTAATTATAGTAAGGATATATATATTTAGAAATAAAATATTGATTTATAGCTTAGCGGTGGAAACATATTGATTACTATATTTGAATTGATCAAACCTGGCGAATATTATAAACTAGTCCAATTATAATCACTCGATGAGATACACATTTTCCACATGATATAACATTATTCCTATGGACGGCACTTTATTGGAAATTAAACCTATTATTATCTAAACATTTCTTATTGTTCAATAGTATTGATTTCATCACAATTACAGCAAATTATAAAAAAAGTAAAAAACAAGTAAACCATAAAATATAACTAGCAATAGCTTAAAATCACGAAAAATCAAAATAAAATTGTAACATTAAATGTATTACCACTTTTTGTGAAATTATATTTTTTGCTTTAATGCAAAATGATGGACACGTTTACGAAGAATTCATTGAATGCATTACAGAATAAGCTGCAAATCCAAGCGAATCGAGTGCTCAAAATAGTTGTATTGATAAGTGTGCTCACAATCGGCTGTTTTTGGCAAATCTATTACATCTGCGAATTGTATTTCAATTATCCCACGAATGTTGTCATTGAGACCAAGTTTGATGTGTTTGAGAAAGAGTTGCCTTCAATGACATTGTGTGCAAACATTGGAAACTTGACGCGTGAGCGCACATCCGATCAGGTCTTCGCATCCATTGATGTCCAGAAGATTATCAAAAACATAACCATTGAGTTCGTGGACATCGTTGAAAAGGATCTCACGTTTGATGTCCGCAACCATACGATCGAAAGCATAAGTGTTCTCTACTATTGCTTTACTATTACTTCTAAACAAAACAGTAATATAATAAAAACCTTTTTAAAAGTCACTTTCATTTTATTAAATCATGTTTACAGGCAATCAATCAATTAGGCTTTCCCTAAACAACCTGTTCATTGTAAAGGTGAACACAATAGGCAAAGATTTAACCTGGTGGGTTTACTTTCATCACTATCTGGACAGACCATCCAGTTATGAGTGGAATGCCGTCGAAGTGCGTCCATATCTCTGTCAGATAACCTATCATTTGACAAGTTATCACTTACTGAAGAACCCCTATCCCACTGATTGCAAGGACTACAGCTCACAATCAGAGTATGATTCTCGTAAAGACTGCGTCCGAAAGTGTAAACTACAGCTAAGTGTCGAGGAATGCGGTGTAATTCCACATGAAGTCGATGTCTATAAAGGAGAGAAAAGTGTAAAGTTTGCCGATACTATAGACCAACAGAAATGTGTCCATAATTTGACGCTTAAAAGGAGATGCGGGAAGAAGTGTGCGAATGTTGACTGTATGACCCACTACTACAAGCCATTCGTGATCTCCGGTCGCAAAGACAACGGCACTGATGTGACAATTCAAGTGATTTTGCCGACAGAACCGCAGACACTGTTGTCACACAAGCCTCGCATCGAATTAATTGAATTTCTCTGCTATTTTGCATCAATTCTTAGCCTTTGGTTCGGATTCTCATTGTTTTCCACATATTTTTGGTTCAA